CTGAATATTCGCACCATCAGTGCAGACTCGAACTAATGATTCTAATGAGCTTTCAATGAATAGTTAAAAATGAGTTACCCGTTTGAATCAATCACTGTATTGAATCCATCAGAGCGGCTACTGAATCAATGTTTGACTCACTTACTGAATGGCAATTTATTATTTTCAGTGATGTAGGTTTTGTGTCATTACCATTATTGACTGTTATTGTTAAAGATAGACATTTACAGTTCTTAGTTTTGTAACGAAGACATGCTAATCTTGTACTGCCTCTAACATTACTGTCATGTTTTACTCCATACGCCCAAAAAGACTCATCATGATTTGACCCTCATGCAACCCAGTTTCATTTATTTCTGTAAAGGGAGAAAACTCTCTTTTAAAAGTCTCCCTGCAGAGCTACAAATTAGACTTGCTTCTATTTGAGAGAGTGAAGCTTTTCAACGGCTCTGCTCTCAGAACTCCCCAAACCGTAAATCTGCGCCGAATCTCCCTGTTTATGGTCAAACCTCCCAGGAGCCCGGTGTCCAGAGCTCTGCTGGGATTCTCTCCGGCTGTAAAGTGCTTCCTGAGTAATCATCACTCACCGTTTTGGAGTAGCGCTGGCTGGCAGCGTGTTGATATTTTCTCCATCCTTTTCATTAATTGAGTATTGACGGAGATTGGAGAGTCATTACACCTCATTGATCTGTCTTAGTTCTGCGGCCCTGCGTTGCCAAACTGGCGGACGAACAGCGAGTGCTTGAGGGAATTAGTTTAAAGTGTATAACTCAACATCATATCATAACCAGCATCTCAGTGTGAGTGCCTAGAGAGCTAAACGAACCAGCTTCTGCCTCCTTGAGCTTACTTAGGAGGATGCAGGGCTTAATTTGTACAGCTGGAATTGGATGCGGCACTTACGTATTTTATTGGATACGTCTCTGAAATTAATTTATGCTTTGACCTCTACATATGTTGCATGGAAAAAATATCTCACAAATCAGACTTTTCTTCTCAGAATTGTGTTTATATCTTACGATTCTGAGTTTATATCTCACAATTCTGAGAAAAAATAAGAATTGTGAGATATAAACTCAGTATTGTGAAAAAAGTCAGAAATGTGAGATATAAACACAAAATTCTGGCTATTTATCTCTCATTTCCAAGTTTACATCTCACAATTCTGAGTTTATATCTTGCAATTCTGAGTTTGCATCTCTCAAGTATATTTTTTTGTTTCCACCATGGGGGAAAAACAACAGGTAATGGCGACTTATCTTACAATTTAAAAATTCTTTGTTGCAATTGTGACTTTTCCTCTCAGAATTGTGAGTTTATATCTCACAATTCTGAGAAAATAAGAGAATTTTAATTCTCTGGCAGAAACAGGCTTCTATAAAATACTGACTACTTTATAAAAACATATAGGTGCAATTCTGAATATAGATAAATTGCATCCTGTGCACAGTATAAATACGGCAGAAACAGTTTACGGTTTTATTTCTAACATAGTCATGTCTTATAAATGGCAAGAATTCCTCTTAATAGTAAGTTGATCTGACCAACTGCAGGTCATTATTTTTGCAATTTAGAGATGTTTTGCTTTGGGTAATGCTGCAGGCACAGAAAATACACACTTTTGCATTAAAAGCATTGACAAACTCAAAAAGTTTAGCTGAAAAAAGGGAAGAAACAGCAACTTCTAGCCACATCTGCAAAGAACAAAGGTCAGTGACAAAAATGTTAGCGCTAGACATTTCAACTGCATGTTAAATGTGCTGCTGTTGTCGATTTATGGCAGTTGCTTCCTTGACATTTTTACAAAGTTTCTCCTTAAATCTTAGGTCAGATTTCAGTGATATCCAGGCCCATGAGTTCAGGGGTTTTGAGAGCACTTTCATGGCCTGTTGTGAACTTGAAGACACTGTAAAAAACATTGTTGATGATAAAAACATTTGTTTCCACTGTATATCCTGTTCACAACTGAAGGAATAAACCAACTCACTCCTGTGTGCTTGGAAAAAAAATGTGGCATTTCAATCCATAAATGTAAATACGGTGCTGCTCATCTCTGATGATAATGTACCACTTTTGTGTAGGCTGGTGTTAGCAGAGAGAGAAGATCTTTCTGCTAGTGGGTAAAATCTATTGATTGAGAATTCCTACAGCTCCAGAGTGATAAATATTCATTGCGGAATCTGATTGTGAAATGGTGATCAGCATTTGAACGGATCGCTTTCCATGCCTCAACATCAGTGGATGTAATTGCTTGACCACAGCTGCTACCACGCAAGCTCACCCACCGCTTTAAATTCACACGGGAGGCCTGAAAAAAACCTGAACACGCAAATCTTGAACGTTTAAAGGAATAGTTCAACCAAAAATGTAAATTCTGTCAGTATTTTCTTAAAGCTCCTAAAGTGACAGAAAAATATTAGAAATTATGAGTCTTCTGAAGTCATACATTTTTTTTTTTTTTTTTTTTGTAAAATCACATGACATTGGTCTTTATTGCAAAAATTTTGGACCGTCCTCATTACATATCTGTAGTTTCGACAAAGTGAGACATGCTGCTGTTGGTCTATGACCAATTTACCAGGTTCAATTTGAATGTGGTTTGAGATACAGTATGTCAGATTACATAGGAACTTTATGTTAGCTTTTGTTTGTTCTCTACTGGGTGTGAAGGACAGATGGCCCTCATTCCCAGCCGTGTTTCCCACAAATGCCTCACCAGGCTGGACAACGAGCTTGAGCCAATCTGCCAACAGTAGCAGGGCTTTGATTTGATGAGGCTGTGGATCGTATCACATGCATAACTTACATTCTCCTATGCTCTAAAACACTGTAACTGATTCACTTGGACACAGACAAGTTCAATCAAACACATTCATTAGCTGAAGTTCAACTAAATTGATTGTGCTAAAGTGGAACTATTGCAAGTATACTTTAGGTATCTTGCATTTAAAGACGATGATATTCAAAGATCATACAATCCTCATCAATAGTGACATTAAAACACATTTTAGGCTTAATATTAAGAAATGTGCATTGTGCACAAGTAGTACTCCAAATAAAGTTTAAATATAATACTTTTTACTATGGGAGTCTTGGAGCATGTCTCAACTTCTTAAACTTTAACTGCTTCCATTTTAAAATATAAACATTCTTATATATAAACTGCTGTTGTCTACTGTACTGTTTTGGTTTCTGTCTTTGTATATTCAATGAGAGATCAGTGTGTAAAAGAATCACACTGTACTTGTACATAAAGTACTTTACTCTACATTACTCTTTTCCAGCTCAGAAACACATCCATAAATTATCATATAAACACATTAAAACTCTTAAAAGTGGATTTTTTTTTCTCATAATCAGCAAATAAAAACGCACAAACATTTAGTATTAAATTACACAGAGTGCGCAAGTCGCTTTCCAAGAGCAGTGCAATGACAGCTTCAGTGGTGTGAGTCTTGTGCTGCGCTATCTGAAACCAGCAGCCAGACGCTCCCATAATTCATATTCTGAAGTGCCAGGCCTACACTACAATAAAAACACACCAAAGGCTCTGGCTGAAGAAAAACTCACTACACTCCTCCTGTTATTACTCCATTTCATGACAGGCCTCCAGATCACACAGTTCATTGGATCAACTTGCTATCTTTTGCTCATTCTTTTTACACAGTTTGAAGAGAAAAAAACTACATATAGTTCACTTACCAACCATTAAAAAAACATTATATACACTGCTACTAAAGTTTGGGATCACAATGATTTTTTGAAAGTAAAGAAATGTTACAACCCTAAAAAAAGAAACTGTATTCAACCATATTCAACTGTGATAATAATTTATCACAATTAAAAGCTTTGACATCACAGTAATTAAATCATATTTTTTAAATATGATAATATTTTTAAATTTCACAATATCACTGCTTTTGGCTCTATTTTTGATCAAATAAATGTAGCCTTGGTGAAAAGAATATTCTTTTAAAAACAAAGAAAAATCTGTATGTGACAGTAGTATTTATCTTTATTTTTGTATTTATTTTTTCAACATTACAGCTGGACTTTTACAGCTCGACTCTCTAACCATTAGGCCACGACTTCCACGATTAGAGTGCACGCACGTTGATTTATTAGTCTATTAATACTCAAAATTCCAGGCATTCTAAATTGTAGACGGTAAAAATGCTTCTGTATGCTTTTTATATTTATATAATTTAATATAGTT